TTCTTTTCCCTCTGAAGATCTATTTAGTTAGAAAGTTACCCCAAACATAGAAATGGCCTGCCCGCCTCTTCTGGGGAGAGCCAGGTAGTCACATGTAGCCACAGCAGTGTTTGTGCTGTCCCGAGGTTGGCCTTGACTTTGCTCTGGCCCGGCCTCTGGTATTTCACTAAATCCATGTGTTTTTGCCACGGCTGACCGTTCTCTGTGTACCGTCTGATCGATGCGGAATAATACGTGCAGATTCTTTTTCAGTGCAGTTTCAGAATATGATACACTGTCCACTGGAAAGTACTCACCTTATTTGTATACCTGAGTCTTCCTACTCCACAAATAAACATGTGTTAAACTCTGGCTCACGTGTGCTTTCTGATGGGCGGAGTGCTGGCTTGGCGAGAGACGGGCGGTTTGTTTGTATGGAACCAGCGTCACTTCCCAGGACGCTGCCGACCACGCCCTGCTTCTGAAAACCTCCTCTGCCCTTGGCCTTCGCCACCTGCTCCCCAGCTTTCCTCCTGTTCCCTTGGCTGCTCCTCCTGAGCTGCCTTTCTGGGCATCTCTCCCCGCGCTGGCCCTCAGATGGTGGCACCCTGCCCCGACGTTCTCCCCGCACTGAAGGCTCTCCTGGGGGTTCTCACCCACTCTCAGGGCTCCAGTTAGTTACCACACTTGGGCCCTCAGGTCCCAAGTCCACAGCCCTGACCCACATGGGCCTCTTCATGTGGACTTTGCATGGCCAAACCCAGACCCAGGCTTCTCCTGGACCTGCCCCAATCTGGTGTTCTTGACCCACCATCTGTTCTGCTATACAAGCCGGCAAGGAGGAGCCATCTCATCTGTAAGCCGACCTGCCCCTTCTGCCTTCTCTACCCATCAGATTCCTCCTGGTTGCCAGCTGCCTCCCTGCAGCCTGGTCACCTCTGCTCATTCATTCCTTACATGATAGCTAGGGTGACCTTTCTCTGCTTGACACCTTCCTGGGGCCTGAGGGCAAAGTGGAGGCTTATTACTAAGGTTCCCAGGCTGTTCCATGGGCCCCTCCCTCTCCCAGCCACACCCGCTGTCCCCTCTCTGTCCCAGGTGCTTCTG